AATAATATAACTCAAGTTTTCTCTATTATTGTTTTAGGGTAAAATACTAATGATTACCAGTACAAATAAAACGTCAACCACCGTGGCGTTGACATTACAGCTAAAAACAGTTTACTACAAAAATCCCTGCATCAATTACCCACAATTTAAGGGTCTATGCAAAAGAAATGCAGTTAAGGTTTATTTAACTTGCCATTTGATTGTTAATTCTAAATAAATAACTTATTTTCTGTATACAAATTATACAGTACAAAAATCATCATAATACCTGTATGCATCGATAAGCAAGTATGAAAAAAAAACCATTTAAACAATCTGGCACTTTAGCATAAAAGCTTATTTTTTTTAAAGTCTTTGTATCAAACTTATTGTATTTCAGATATTACACTGATAATTATCATATATGCTTGTTAAATTTGTGCTTCTTTGAAAAACGAAGTAAAGATAGAGTGTCAACCCTACCTTTGTTTGAGCACTGTTTCTCTTATTTAGCAATTGGACATTTACGTTTACAAATGCTGTGAAGCAACTTGTATTTATGATATCTGACTTATTTTCAGCTGAACAATTGATAGAGTTTGAAAAACAACTCAAACCAGGTACAGTACCTCTTATTGTCCATCCTTTTTTTCCTAACCTTAAAACAATCCTCTAATTATTTTTCCCAAAGATTTATTGTTATTTCTGTCCACTTAAAACTATTTTGGAAAACACTAGATAGGGGTGGGGGAGTTAGACCAGGCTTGTAAAATTGGGGTTTTTATTATTTGGCTAAACTCTCTTTTCAAGTGAACCTGCTAAGCCAAACCACCCCTCTTTGCATCAAAACCATTTAAATAATGATGAATTTCATTAATCATATGCTACTCTAGTTTCAGAAATTTTCACCCTTACCTCAAAATAGCTGTTAAACTCAACATGGTGTCTAGATTTTCCTTTGACCTCTTGCTTTTGTGTGAAATCTTTCTTTAATACAAGGACCATGTTACCTGAGATTTGATCACTTGAAAGTATCATGTCTTTTGGATGGCATAAATGGTACTTAAAAATTCTGTTTGATATAGGTGACCTAAGAGGCTATGTAGCAAGGATGTTACGCAGAAAAGGGTGTTATGTGAAGGATAAAGGAATGTTCAAAGAAAAAGAACATGAAAAAGAATGTTTCACTCAATCACATTCTAGTGGACCAAGTTTCATTATATCAAGTCAAGGTGAGTTTTTAAGTAACTTTTAAAGGTACAAAGACACAATAGCTTTAGAGAGCATTTCCTTGATTAAGTGTTATTAAGACAGTTTGCCTTCTGCCTTTTATGTTCCGAAGTCATTGGACCCATAATAATGATTTTAGCACTAAAATACTGTAAACCCTACGGTTTCTGGACAGAACGGCAAAAAACCAAAACAGCAGTGACCAAAACAGCAAAAAACCAAAACGGCAATACTTTTCAACCAGAACTTCAATAAGTCAAAACGGCAATAAGTCAAAACGGCAATAAGTCAAAACAACAAGATCAAAAGGGCAATAGGCCTTTAAAGTCAAAACGGCAATAAACCAAAATGGCAACACTTACATAATTTATGTCAAAAGTAAAAATGCGCGAAAGAAAAAAAAAATACTATAAGGAACAACATTAAGAATAATGATAATAATAGTAATAATAATAATAATAAAAATAAAAATGAAAATTAATAATAATAATAATAATAATAATAACATACAATACAATTCAATAATAAAAAGATTGGGGGAACGCAGTGTTATATATAAAAGCAGTGAACATTTAAATAATTAAAACCTTAAAATACAGGTAAAATGGTGGGGGCTAAACAATATAATGCCATGAAAGTAAAAAACGGGGAAGAAAAAATAATAATAATAAATAAATAACACTTTAATATAATAAATGCCTAGTCATGAATGTGTAAAAAAAAAAAACATTAACAGAAAACAAAACACGATTCAGAAAATTATAAACTGCTGCCCGCACCCGGTGGCACCATTCTTGGCATTGATTTTTGCTCCTTTGCCGTTTTGGTCTATGCCTATTGCCGTTTTGGTAGATGTTATTGCAGTTTTGGTCTATGCCTATTGCCGTTTTGGTAGATGTTATTGCCGTTTTGGTCTATGCCTATTGCCGTTTTGGTAGATGTTATTGCCGTTTTGGTCTATGCCTATTGCCTTTTTGGTAGATGTTATTGCCGTTCTGGTCTGTGCCTATTGCCGTTTTGGTAGATGTTATTGCCGTTTTGGTCTATGCCTATTGCCATTTTGGTAGATGTTATTGCCGTTTTGGTCTATGCCTATTGCCGTTTTGGTAGATGTTATTGCCGTTTTGGTCTACATTGCCGTTTTGGTAGATGTTATTGCCGTTTTGGTCTATGCCTATTGCCGTTTTGGTAGATGTTATTGCCGTTTTGGTCTATGCCTATTGCCGTTTTGCCTATTGCCGTTTTGGTAGATGTTATTGCCGTTTTGGTCTATGCCTATTGCCGTTTTGGTAGATGTTATTGCCGTTTTGGTCTATGCCTATTGCCGTTTTGGTAGATGTTATTGCCGTTTTGGTCTGTTGCCGTTTTGGTACTTATCATTGCCGTTTTGGTTTATTGCCGTTTCGGTCATTGCTGTTTTTGGTTTTTTGCCGTTTTGACCTGCTTCCGACCCTACAGTAGGAAAGTAGCAGTTGTCGTCCGACTCTATGACCATCAGTACCTGTCATTTGTGTATGAATCTTTGTTGTGTTGTGTGAATGTTCTTTAATTGTAGGTTTTAATTAGGTAATTTCAGAATTGTTCCCCCTTCAATAATTATGTTATTTATTTGTTACATTTCAATGAATATTGTAATTTACATTTTGAAGGAAATAAATGTTAATTTTGAATTTGAATTATAGGCTTCTTACAGTATCAACAGTCATTTTATTTTGTTTGTCCCAAAGTTTACCAGTGTCTTTTGGAAAATATTGTGCTATATATTATTATTGATAAATTTAACTTAATTCAAGTATAGAATTTAAGACAAATGTAGGCTGATTTTCATTTTAGCAAGCTTAATATGTCAGATCCCAAACCACAATTCAAAAAAGAACCATGAGACTCAAAACTTGGACTGTGAGATATCATAAGTAATACTGTATTATGTATTGATTGAAATACTGTATTATGTGAATTGTCTGAGCTCCTGATAAATTAATAAAAATGGCCAAAATCTTTCATTTTCAAAGTTTTCTCAACAGATGATAATAAGCCTAAAATTAAATGCATTCTTTGTGATACTGACCCAACTGATAAATACATGCCAATGGCTTCGTAAATTTCATGCCTTGTCTTGTTCTTGTACTGTGTATGTGTAAACTTATAGTTTCCATTACAGTATATTATATCATTTCATCCAAAAAGGAAGATGTCTTCCTCTGGGCTTACATCCTCCCTACCCAGGCCAACACACCTAATCTATGTTGTATCCTGGAGCTATAGTTGTATCTTCTTTTTAAATCTTTAAATGAAAAGTCATCATTTTATTGTTTGTTCTTTCAAATCAAATTTTTCATAGTCAGAAAATTATTATGTGCTTGAAGGCCATTGAACTTAATTGTATTTAGATTTGCAACTTGGTCTATACTCAAACAAAGTTTATTATATCATAAAAAGTATGCTCAATTAATTTTGGAAGGTGATTACAATCATCCTTATCCTGGAATCCGACTCCAGGAATACCTCATATTAATTAATATAAATGCGATAGATACTCTACACTTTATTTAACTTTCGATATTTTCCAAATAAGTCCGATCCCATTTTTGGATTATATAATAAATTAAACTTAAAATTGTCCCTTTCCATTGTCTTGCTGTTCTTCCCCCTTCCTTTATTGTCCAAAGATTATTTTCCTATGCTCCTTCCATGATTTTCTCGCATTTTGATGTTGGTTTTGCTTTTTCACGATTTTTCTATTTTGTATGTCGTCTTGGTGTGTAATTTACTGTATTTGTTTGTGTTGTCATTTTTCTTCCAATTTAATATTTGTCCTTTGTAATGTATGTTTTTAGTATTAAATTTTGAATAAATATACCTCAAATAATAATAATAATAATAATAATAATAATAATAATAATAATAAATAACATACTTTGATTAGTAAATTGTTTCTCTTTTCAGATATGGATGACAGTGAACCATCAGTCGCTCAAGAGCTGCCAAGTAAAGGTATTATGAAATATGAAAGTCACATAGAAGACATATGCAAATCACTAAGAATGTTTAGTCAGATCATGATCCCGCATATGAAGGTAATCTCAGAATCAGATGAGCAGATCATTCAACTGATGAGTGAAAGAGTAAATTGGATAAACATAGAGGTTTCAATAACCGAATTGAAGAAACAATCATCTGAAGACATTGGCAAAATGTTTGCTCATGTTTTAATTGCTATACAAGATGAAGAAAATGTTTTAATGGAAATCCATGAATTATGTACTAATGATATTGTCAGTAGTTTATCAACTGAATGTAAGAAATTAAATTTCAAATACAATATTACAGGACACTTCTATTGTTCCAAATCAAGTAATGTATTATTCTTAATTCATCTGCTGTGTAGTGCACCAAGACTTTGTTTTTTTCATTTATCATATTGTGATATAAAAGGTGTTAATGTGAATGAGATTGCAGATGCATTGTATCAAGAAGGAGTTGTGTTGCAATTAACATATCTTAATATCAGTGGAAATAACCTCAATGACATCAAAGGTTCCTCACTTACCACTTTGCTTGCTGTAGCTCCTAAGCTGAATAATCTTTACATGAGAAATTGCAGTATCCCGGGTGCTGTAATGGATGAGATGGTTAAAGAATGTTCTAGTAGAGGAGTTGTGTTGGAATTAACCAGCCTTGATATCAGTGAAAATAACCTCAATGACATCCAAGGTTCCTCACTTGCCACTTTGCTTGCTGTAGCTCCTAAGCTGAATAATCTTGACATGAGAAATTGCAGTATCTGGGGTGCTGTAATGGATGAGATGGTTAAAGAATGTTCTAGTAGAGGAGTTGTGTTGGAATTAACCAGCCTTGATATCAGAGAAAATAACCTCAATGACATCAAAGGTTCCTCACTTGCTACTTTGCTTGCTGTAGCTCCTAAGCTGAATAATCTTGACATGAGAAAATGCAGTATCTCAGGTGCTGTAATGGATGATATGGTTAAAAAGTGTTCTAGTAGGAAAGTTGTGTTGGAATTAACCATTCTTAATATCAGTAATAATAACCTCAATGACATCAAAGGTTCCTCACTTGCCACTTTGCTTGCTGTAGCTCCTAAGCTGAAAGACCTTTTCATGAGAAAATGCAGTATCTCAGGTGCTATCATGGATGATATGGTTAAAGAGTGTTCTAGTAGGGGAGTTATGTCGGAATTAACAGATCTTAATATCAGTCAAAATAACCTGAATGACATCAAAGGTTCCTCACTTGTCACTTTGTTGGCTGTAGCTCCTAAGCTGAAATATCTTTTCATGGGAAATTGCAGTCTGTCAGGTGTGGATGATATGGTTAAAGAGTATCGTAGTAGGGGAGTTGAACTTTGTATCTAGTAGAAAAGGTAGTTGCAATCAGGTAGCAAGTTCTGTAGAGGTGTTTAATGCATGTTTAATTAATTTGTATTTTTAGTATTTTTTAAATACATAATACAGATGATGCTATTTAAGGTTTATTTAAGTAATAATCATAGGAGTAATGTTTTGCCCTACCTGACGTGATATCGTACCGAATACTCAGTACGTCCCCAAATACTAGCGAAAACAATTCGCAAGTGATTCGGGTGGGAATTGAACCCACGACCTCCAGGTATCTAGCCTGATGTCTTAACCACTAGACCACCGAGCTTGCGCTTGGTGACGAGTGATGAATCCGATCCCCTAGTAGCAGCGGGTACTGCAAGTGCTATAAAGATATGAAGTTTGCCTCAGGAAATAATCATAGGAGTGATATCATGTCAGGTAGGGCAAAACATCACTCCTATGATTATTTCCTGACACAAACTTCATATCTTTATAAATATCAAATTACAATAATTATAATCTAATATAATTGTGAGTATAACAAGCCCATTAATAACAGAAAAATAATGATGACATTAAAAACAATTTAAATACAATAACAACATAATTAGTAACAATACACACAATAATAGTAATAACAATATATAAATGGTAATTATACATTTGATAAATACAGGTCTCCCTCTAATTAAATACCACCTAAAACTAAATGTAATGTCTGCAACGCTTATAGTTTTATCGTTCAAACTATTACTTTTCTAATTAGAGCAGATGGTGTTTAAGTCAATCAACCTTAGTCACAAAAGTGGTCTTTTATTGGAGGGCAACCTATATAACAATAAGATTAACACAAAACTGAAATTATATAGCATATATTTTTATGCTGCTCCTGTAAAAGGCTCCGGCCTCCCTAACTATTTGTGTTGGGTAGCGGTCGACACGTACAACGACAACAGGTAACTTGTCTTGATTTCATAACATTTATTTATCAAAGTGACGTAGCGAAATGAACCCGGTCAAAGAAAGTCTGGGTAACACTAAGCAGGCAAAGCAGGCAAATCTTAATAAGCAGGTAAAAAGGGGTACAAAATTATCATAACTTGCTTCTAACAAAAAAGAGTTACATAGAAAAATAAGAGTTTTCTTAAATCAAGGACAATATAATTAATGCTATTAATCATATTAAAATCAACCTAAATCATGTGTTACAGTAAATCATCATATAAAACATAGAAGCAAAGATATACAATTATCAATCAAACTAAAGTCAAGCCATGTTGTGTATCATCTTTACACTGTAATCAATCAACATTCATAGTTAGAATTGTATCCATTTATTACTTAAAACTAGAAATTGCAAATTGCAAGTGAAGTGCTGCGAAGTACAACTGCATAAAATGTTCTTCGAACAAAATTATTTATGCGAGTCAAGTGAAAATAATTAATAATAAAAATATGAGCACGACCCATTGTCTATATATTATTAGAACAGCGTTGGTACAATAGTGTTTTGCTGCAGTGACATCTCTCTGCTGGCGATGGCTCGCTGCTGCTGGCGATGACGTCTCTTATACACATCTAGATGTGTATAAGAGAAGCGTCGCGACATGCTGACGTTGGTACGAGTAGGTTAGTCTACAAACGTCGCCTAAAGTAATTGATTTTACCCGGCAGAACGAAAGAAGGAAACTCCGCTTTTCAGTTGTCTCAGGTGATTGATTTTTGACAAACAATAACCTTTCAGAGGTCAAATTGCTGTCAAGAATATGAATTGGCTGCTTCGCAGCAACAATACTGTACATTAATATCCACTCACCAGTTCATGGCAAATCATTTGTCTATGTAGATCAGTGTAACCAAGTTTGGTACATAATAATCTATAAAGGTAACATTATAAATAATACATGATAATAACATAACCAATAAATAGTAAACAATAAAGAGTGCCACCTACAGGCAGCCATAATGAAAAGCGCCACCAATGGTTAGCTTTTCTTATTCAATCTTATCCCTAATGAGGCCAACTTAAATTAGATATAATGTATGATCAGTTTTCTGGTGGGATCACAATTTACTTAATTACATCAAAAATATATAATACTGTAATACTTCAGATTGCATGCATTATGTAATTGTAAAATAACATAGTAATACTGTAGAACTCAATTCTAGAACAGTTTCAGTTTATGACACTGTATCTGATCAAATGGAGTATGGTTGTAGCGGCTGCGAGGGAAAGCGGCCGCGCTCAAAATGTATGGAACGCCAGTAGCGCTATACATTGATATCTCTTTATTTCGAAACACTGATTTCTGTTTATTTCGAAACACTTGCCTGCTCAAATAAAACTGAGTGAAACATCTAGAATTGACGAGTACGATATGAAAATGTGATGAACGTGAAAAACATAGGTCAAATGCAATGACAAACAGATGTTCATTCACTAAAGAACAAACTGAACACAAGTTAGTAAAATTCGAAAAAATAAACTAAAGAAGCATTTAAAAAGTACCATCCATTTCTGTAAGAAAATAGGCATACTTAAATCAATTGATATAATAAATAAACTAAATATTAAGTCTCGATTTATATAGGCTATATATAAATTATGAAAGAAAATATACATTAATTTGATAATTGATTAAAGCAGTATTGATATCGAACTCTGATGCCCATTGTCCAACATACATTTAGCATACAGTACTGCGCACTTGGCGCTCCATACAAATTGCTGTGTATCGACTCGCGGCCGCTTTCCCTGGCGGCCGCTACGACCCTAATAATTATAAAGTCAATGATTATTAAATCTATAGTAATCAAAAGGTGTCTGATGAAGCTTAACTAACTTCAATAGTTAACAATAAAAACTTAATCGTAGGAACAATTCCAGACACTGCATAATTTAAAGTTAATGATCATAAAAGTAATCTGGTTAATTACTACTTAATGGTAATTACAAAACACACTGTACTTCTAAACAATAGCTCAGTATGATAGTTATTATGTGTAAGCATACTATAATTTACATATACTCAAATAAATGTCATATATAATAGATATAATAAGTGTAATTACTTACAGTTCTATATAAAAGCTTTGAATTTACGAAGACATCAGATTAAGATTCTATATATGCCTGCTCTCAACAATGGCTTGGAACAAAGAGACAGATAAAAGCTACTTGGTTGGCTTCTCAAGCACTCCTTCCCATTGGACATTCCAATGGTATATACCACTTAAGGATGTTCCATTAATTAGCGTAATTAATAAAATTAACAATGTGCCTAAAATCATGAACCATAACATGACTCTTATTAACATAAATTAGCATTCTAATAATTACTAATAAAACTACTTGGAATTAACAGCTCAGTATATATCAAGGTTTATTTTATTTAAAAGGCTTACGAAAGAGAAACGACCATTGCATTTATTTATGGGAGGCGTGTATTCCAAATGAGGCTCCAGAGGGGGTTTATTTGAGGGGAAGTTTATAATTTAAGTGGGAGGTGCTATTCAAATAAATATGGTAATTATTCAAAAATGAAAAATTCAGTAATATCTTTTTATATATGTAAGTAAAATGAAATCTAAAATAGTAAAAGTATTGTATTCTTTGGATAGATTAGAATTTCAACTGAAAATAATGAACATTTAATACATTACATAGTGTAGTAAACTCTTAACAGTGGTGTTAACATGGGTATAAGTTCTAGAGAAGACAAATATGATATCTGTTGGCTGGTATCAATAACAACGATGCAGTGCATGCTAACTAATGAAGTGATTATGGTCAATATAAGACAATACAGATGATAAACTTACAATAAAATGCTTATGTAAAATAGAGAATGCTTTATTTACAGTAATAAATTAAAGACAATTTGTACTGTTGTTCAGGTGGAATTGAAAGCATGGGCGAGTTATTCTTTTCTGATGCCTATTATATATCTAATGGTCCGCTATGGAAAGCAAAAGAATAATTACTCAAATATGTTTTATGGTAATGTTATATTAATTTTATATCTTTTCTTTTCACTTTTCATCATTTTACATTGTATTCTTTGAGTAGTGCTGTTTATTGACCTGTTCTTTAAGTTAGATTCAGTTTTTCAATGCATATTTATTTATTATTGCCTATTAAAACATTAATTTTTAAATTTCATTCCATATATTTTTTTTTCTTTTTCATTTGGTTATTGCAAAACAAGATAAATATAACCGATTATTATAAAATACTCATCTTAAAATAATATTTTCAATCCAACATTTAATCATTATCTCTTTGTACAGTACATTGGTTGATCTAACCAATGTTGTGGCATTTTATTTCTGCAGAATGTCTTTGCTGTCGTGTGACTATTTTCTTTCATCATTTGTTTTATATCTTTCATGTTTGATGTCATGGGATAATAATAATGCTTTTTAAAAATGTATATATGAAATGTTTTAGAAATGGTTTACTAATATTATTTTATTTATAAGTAGTTTGAATTGGTTGTTGTAACATTACTAGCCAAATTCATTGAATTGCAATCTTTTTATAGTATTTATCAAGAGTTTATTAATTTTTTGGTGTCAGTGTGTTTGCAAGACTTTTTTATACCTTGTTAAGTGAACATCCCACCTGCCAATAATGATGATTTATAATTTTTTTTTAAATTTGTTTTTGGCCAATTAGAAATATCAGCCACCACTGTTGTTGTAACATTATTGTAAAATAATAATAAAATTATTAATGATGTTATTTACATATCTAAATCTTTGTCCTACTTTATTAATTATTTAGAATTCTCTTTCCAAGCTAATTGTTTCAGTATGGTATTTGTTTGCATTGTTGCTTTTTTAAGCCATGGCCTTCTTTTTGTTATGTCATTGTTGCGTTTATTATTATTGTAATGGGACCCCTTCGGAAACAAGCAGAAATGCTTGAAAGGTTATCCTGAAATTCTCTCATTTTTGTTTAATTCGTTTAATTTTGTACTCCGTTTAGTTGTGAGAATTTCGAAATAAATCAAATCAAATCAAATCAAAAATCAAATCACCGCTGCCTTAAAATCTCTGATGATAAGATATGTATATTTCTTCCTAATTATGCTAACTGAAAGCATTTAACCATCCCGTTACTACACTGTTTACATTCACCAATACATTTTTTTTTCTCCTTTA